ACAGAAATAATTTTCTTCCCCCAGTTCATTTCTCCTAGACATTGGCTTTTGTTATTTATGACCACGTATTGCTCTGTGGCTCATTTATTTGTATTGCATTGACTAGATCCATGAGGCACAGTGACTGTGACCCCAGTACCTTAGCACAAAGCTTGACATTTGTCCTAGGCTCTTGCTCATAAGACAACGGTGGTTCATGTATTGGATCTCTCCCCAGGTCGGAGGCTATGCGAAAGCTGACCAAGTACACAGTGCTGTCTTGGGGAGGGCCCTCCAACATCTCATCAACATGGACAAGGCAACATTATCTTTAAATGGCACAGAAAGAGTGGTTTATTCTCTGGCGAGGGCAGTCAGGCCAAACTCTGGCTCAGCTAGGGGGATGGGCTCTTCCATAAAGACTGACAACCGGTTCCTGAAGCCACTGAGGGGCCTCTGAGGAAGGGGCTCACTGAAACAGGCTGAGGCAGTTGACTTAATCTCGTGGACAGTCTCCTTGGCAGCGGGGCAAACACCAGGACGGCCAAGTAAGAGGAGAGAGACATTTTCATAACAGACATGCATCATGGAGGAGGGGTTACCTGGCCTCGTGGGTGAATCCTGTGAGCAGACATGAGTTCTGGAGTCCAGTGCTTCAGTCAGTACCTGCGCTCCACAAGGAAATCCTAGAACGAGGGAATAACACGATAAGCTCTTTGGTGTTTGTTGGTATGAATCGCTGTCCTGAATGTTCAGGGCAGCTCTTTTATCCAGAAGGTAAGCAAAGTAAGTGAGCAATCACGTGACATCAGATGTGGGCTCTGCCTTTCAGAAACACAGATGAATGAAGAATGCTGAGTCACAGCTAACAACTCGTGGAGTGACAGGTGAATTACAAAAGGTAAGATTTGAGTTTCAAAACTCTTTGTCACCTAGGTTTAAAAGGGAACATGTTTGTTTATCTTTGGAAAAGAATCAGAGCAAGTACCGACAGGCCAGAGAGAAAGAATGAACTAGGTTCTTTCGTAAGGTTCTTTTGTAGACAAGGTGGCAATGAGAGAGACAGATGTTAGGATGCGGTGTGGAGTACACTGGTTCCACCAGCCTGGAGCTAATCGCCCCAGAGCGGTGGTTCTCCACCTTGACTGTACATTCAAATCATCTAGAAAGCTATTTTACATCTCTATATGGCATTCTCGGCTAGTAAATCGGAACTTCCGGTGTGGGAGGACAAGGGGCAAGTCCCCAGTGTTTTCTCAACCTCTCCTGTTGATTCTATTGTGGCAACAGAGAACTAGGTGCCCTTGGAGTGGAGCTTCCTTCCACCGCTCTGAGTTTCTCAGCCCTCTGGTTGCCCCGAGGACATGGAGGTTTCTAGTTGTGTCAATAGGAGTGTGGATGTTTTGATACAGCAAAACAAGTGGCATTTGAGAAACCCAAAGCAGACATTGCTGAGCCTTGAACACACCTCAGTTAGTACATGACATTTTTAACTTGTCTTCAGGATGTATGGGATGAGGGGAGATAATTCTGAGCAAAGCCACACTCACTGGGTATGCAGATTCACTGCATAAGATCTGCAGGGCAGGGTGGGGCAGGGCAGGGCACCAGGTCTATGTGGGTCTCCACTGCATCCCCAGGGTCCGGTCCAAATCAGCACAGAGTGTGGGCTCCGTAAATGTGTGTCGAAGGATTGAATAACTGTTAGAGGAAATTTCTTGTTTCAGACGTTTAATCTTTTGGAGAGAGGATGGTGAACAGAAAATCAGCTAAGCACATAGAAGATATTTATGACGCTTCCCATAAATTGATTCTGGGGTATGTACATCAGCCTGACTGTCCTCAGTGGATATGAAGAGGGAAAATAACAGACACATCTACAAATTTAAGATACTTCCCAGGTTTATAAACACACACGAGGAAGTTTGTCTGAATGGAGAACAATTTAACTGAACTTACGAATAAAAAATAAAACACATGAAACATACCATATAATGGTCTCCATTTCACAGAGAGGAGAACACAGCAGACAGTGAGTTTGGGGTGGTCTATTCTCAGTGCAATAATTACATATCCAATTGTAATTTCAATTCCGTGGAATATAAAGTCACCAGAAATAAAGTTTCTTGCTTCCAGACATTGACCTGATAATAATGCAGGTGGATTGTGTGTCTGTGCACCAGCTCCTACAACACAGCTCAGAAAAGACTTTACTGTCTGAAGAGGAAAATCCATACAAAAATCTATATAAACTTTTCAAGTTTACTTTAATCCAAGATTATTTACACAAATCTCTGTAGATTGTACCCCTTTTCCTAATGATTGCATTTCCTATCTAAACACACACATAAAAAAGTATCATGTTATGGTCCTTTTTCATATCTTCTGTTATTTTAAAACCAATCTATCCTATTGTAAAAAACTTCTAAACAGCAAAAAATGTGAAAAGTTACTGTTACCATTCTGAGTTTTATAAGTAGTCCCTCCTACGGAGGAGTAAGGTGGTACATTTTTGAAGTTCTTACTAAGTATGTAAATCTGAGAAGCACTGTCACAGAAAAAAAATTGAATATTATAAAGGGAAGGAAGACTTAAAGGATTTTATAACAGCCAGAGTTTGTCCTGCCTTTCATTCTATTTTTATTCACTTTAAAACTATCAGATTTGTAACCACTTATCACACAGGAAATCACCTAACAGATATGAAACACTCAGTGCTCCCTACTGGAAATATGAATATTCAATGATTGAATCATTGAATATGAAACATGTAAATATAGAAAGTGTAGGCATATAGAGCCAGTTTCTTCTAACAAAAGAATTCAAAGTTTTAACTTTCTGTGTGAATAAAGAGACATGAAATGGTAATGAAATCATACTGTTTCCTAAAAATCAGGAGGCTAACTGGCATGTTAGAGAAAATTCAAAGCTTTTAAACTTTAAAAATCTATAGTTTAGTTAACATCATCCATTACATTTTCATTAAAAACATGTACTTTTTCAAGTTACTGGCAATATTCTTTTTTAAAGTTCGAGGCTATTGAAATGACTAACCTCTTCATTCAGCTCTCCAGTTCACAACTTCTTTCACCTTGGAATGAGCTGTCGTCTAGTCAGGAGGGGATGTGAGAGACTTTGTCACCAACACTAGGATGCTTATATTAGATTACCTCTCAGCTGATGACAGGAGGGCGATTACCTTAACCCCACACTGGCTTTCACTGAAGTACTAAAAAGGGTTGTGGCCACGTGTCCTTTCAATGTCTCCTTTCAATGTCATATGAGATGAAGGCCACCCAAGGATCACCTAGAGATGTAATTTGATTCACTGTTTACTACTTTATTCAAGGTCCCAGACTTAGTGAAGTTGCATGTTAATTTGGATATTTGTCTTCTAGAGAAACAAGTAATTTCTGTCTTGGGGGAAAGGTCCCACAAGTGACAATTTCCGTCCCTGTCAGACAACAGCAGATTTGTATATAACCCAGCATTTTTATCCTAATGCTACTAAAAATGCCCAACTTTTCAAATGCTCTTGGAGCCAGTTTGCATAACTTCCTGGTTTCCTCGTTAGTAAGTGGAATAAAATCTGTCACATTTGTTCATTCTATTTGTATGACAGCATCATGTAACCTTTTGAAAATTGTGTTTTACCAGTTTTGAAGGTCCTCCACTGAGATGTTTGAGGGGGTTAACCCAGTGGAGGCAAATTAAACCAACTTGCCCACACGTATTTTCTTGTCTTCTGAAGTGAACCCCGGGTGGCAACAGGACTTTAACTTTTCTGACTCTCTACTCCTTTTTTTTTTTCCTACTGATACTATGCATCTTTCTTTTGGTTAGTGCACCTTCAATAAGTTAGTCCCAAGTGCTGGCAGCAATGATTGGGGTTTGCTCTTACAGTCTATTCGGTAATCTCTGTTGGATGTGTAATGAAGACCTGTTCTCTGCTGGGTGGGAGACGACAGAGAATCCAATTTAGTAGTCTTCTTTCCTTTTCTTTTCATTTTTTTCTTTTTTCTTTTGATCTGTTTGTTTTCAAACTCACGTCAATTAAGATCAATTACATGCTCACTAGGAAGAAAAATGACTGAGGTTTTGTGTTTCTGGTTTACTTCTGATTTGTAGCTAACAAAGCTATAAGCTTTCCAGGTGTTTCTGTCTGTTCAAATGCTTCTTCTATGATGAAAATTATTAATATTACTGCTGTTAGTGAGATAAAAGAATCTATAGATGAAACAGTATTTCATGTTGTGTATGCATCAGAATAGTCAGAATATCATTGTGGTATCCCAGAAAGGCCAAGGACATGCTGTGGAAAGGTTATATTTATGCCCACATCTATAATTGAGAAAGGTCTTTACCTCTCATTGTGTAACAGAAATAGTTTCCTAACACTGGAGGGTATTAAAAAACTAGATTATACTATCCCTTAAATTAAAGGAGCATTGTTCTGATTGGTTTATAAAGATAAATAATCACTTAAATGAATCAAATATTCTCTCAATTTCCCCAAAATACAGAAACCACACCTCCTCCAGTGCTTTGTGTCCTAGGCTTTTAAGAAAAAGAATTAAAGTTCACATAATGAAGGTGACTCTTTGAACAGATTAGCTTGGTTTAATAATTCTTGTTTTAAAAAATAATATCTATATGTCTTTACTCTTGGTTTATCAATATGGAGTATGATACAAATATACATTTAATTTTTTAAAATAGGATTTGGGTTTGTTTATAGTGCCCCTGTAGTGGAATTAAAGAGCACCTGACTTTTATTGACGACTTGACTTCTCTTTCACAGAGAAATTTTCCTACTGGAAAACCCACTGACAAGAGAAAGATAGTCTCGGTATACTTCTAGAAATAACAATCAATAAGATTTTGTTGACTGACACTGAATTTATTTTAATTATATTGTTTGAACTAATGGAGTGTCCTGGCAGGACACAGAGTTAAACTAAAAATCCTAAAGAAATCCTTTAATAATTTTACGTAATTAAAAAAAAAACTAGCGTGCAAACTAGCAGAAAAAAGTATTTTATTCATTTATAACATCATTTTGTAAACAATCACACTGTGCATTTAAAATTCAATAAGAACAAATCTTTTTCCTATGGATTTATAGCAAACCCTATATAAAGTCAATGAGTTAATGTAAGAGTGAAGATGAATAGCGTAGAATAATTTCTGAAAATGTTAAATTACAGCACTTGATACAAAGACAGATAACTATCTGTACCATAAAAATGTACGTGCCAAGAAACATTCATTTATCATTTTAAATATACAGTAAAACACACTTATTAAAAAAAGCATTAACATTAATTTTATTAAAACCAGTGAATTACTCAGAGGAATATTTATTAAAACTTACTAAAAATCAGTAAATATTGCAACTGAGGTAAAAATTTATAAGTAAACAAAACTATCATTTGTAAGGGCTGAAAGTAAACCGAAGGACAGCCACCACTTCGTGGTGACTATGTCTACTCCTTGATGTTCTGAAGCAGTTTCAGTAAATGTGACTCAATAACCTGTTGAACTAGAACAGACAGGTGATCAAGACCATGGCATGTTGATTATAAAATTGTTAAAAAACTATCAGATTCAACTTACCATCCCCAACTTTCTCCTAAAATAATCTCTAATTAGGATATACACATAGTCTGAGGGTGATAAGTTTACAGTGCGATACCTAAATACTTAAAACTTCATCTGTCACTGACTTTAGCAGCTGTCCAAGCTACTGGATTTTCTGTTCTTGGTTTCCAGGTTTTGAAACTGAAGGAGAGTCTAGAGTACAAGGCTGTTCTATGGAACAGAGAAAGGTCAACTATAGAGCATTTTATAAGCAGTTTGCTATGAAATGTTAAATACATCTTGTAAACAGGTGTGCACTTATCCTCCAGCAACTAACTATGTGGGCTGGTGAAAAGTAAAGTAACAAACTCATTTCTAGACTTTGCAGGACTTTGTTGGTTTTGCCCATGGTTAAAAGTATATGTTAGGAGTTAGGATAACATGCATGTTCTAGGATTGCAGGTGATGATACCCGTTTGGACCACTGGTTTATATTATTTAACAGCTTTACTAAAATGAAACCTGAGAGTTCTAAAATACTTACCACTTCTATAGCCCAAGGCTACAGCTAAATCCATAGAATTATATCCAGAGTCCGTTTCAATGGTTGGGTCAGCTCCATTTTCTATAACAAAAAAAATAGAAAAATCTACATAAATAAAATGAAAATGAGAATATGTCTCTGACTGGCTCATGTGCAATAACTGAGACAGATTTTCAGCAAATTTGGAAGATCTTTTCAGGCTGGTCTGACAAAGTACAGGACACACGGAGTGCACAGAATTCACTTTGGTGGGTTGGAGGGAAGACACTTCAAAACAAACAGGTATCCTCTAGAGTAACTGGAACTTCTAAAAACTACAGACAAAGCTTAGGCATAAAGATACTGCGGAAGAGACAACGGCTGTGGATTCACATGTGACCCCTAAAAGGAAGGCCACAAGGACAGATGTTCCAGCTGCAAGCGTGCTGTGTGATGCAGATGCTGCTTACACGGGCAGCCTTCGGGCAGCAGGCGCTCCAGGGGGAATCATGTATTTAATAATACTTCCTGATGCTCCCGAGGCCAGTTTGTGGGGGAAAAAAAGTCTTCATGTGGCATTTTCTAAATATTTCCACTTTTATCTGCTTACCTAGGAGCATTTTTACACATTTCACATGATTTCCATGTACAGCGTAAAGCAAAGGTGTCCCTCCATTCTGCAAAAGGAAAAGGTGATTTAGCTTTTCAAGGTGAGCAAGATTCAAATAATTTAATGCAGCTGTGAGAAGCTTTACTAAGAATTGGGCATGTGAAAGTAGTTTAGGGTAATTTTAATATTTTTTTAGAATACTTAAATCAGAACTAATAATTGAGTTTAGGACATTAAGATTCTCTTCTAAGTGTTCAATTAACTAAAGTAATTAATTATTCTTCCACGTGTTTAAAAAAATGTATTCGGTCTTCCCAAACCAAATAAATCCTAGCGTTTGTTTCAGTAATTTAAAAAACAGCATTACAGACTCACCCAATCATATTCATTTACATCAACTCCACAATCAAGCAGCATTTTGACAATATCTGTGTAGCCTTTACTGCAGGCCAATGACAGTGCACTTTCTCGACCTTTCCCTAACAGCTGGGGATCAGCACCCTGGAATGGGAAACGGAGATAAAAGACTTTTCAGTTTATGAAAACAAGAATACTGTTACTTCTGTCAATAATAATTACAGTTCAACACCTAGGTCAGGTAGCGTTCTGGGGTTCATAAAGAAATAACACAAACTTCTACTCATGGATGCTTTTGTCATCAAGGTTTGTCCGAATGCCTTCCTTCCTCCCTCTACCTCAGTCCTAACTCCTGTCACTCTGGAGTCAAATGGCATCTCCTCCAGGAAGCTTCTCCTACAGGGCTGACAGTACTCCTGTCCCCATGGCACTTAGAGGGGGCTGGGCATTCAGTTCCCTCTCACTGCTTCATGTATGACCAGACTGCCTGCTCAACTGGATCCACATTCCACAGGAACAGGAAGAGCACTTAAAATGTTTTCGATCCTCTCCCATTAAATCTAACTGGCTGGAGACACAGCAACTTTACTAAATACTTAACTGGACTTAAGTTAATGTACATAGACATTGTCTGAGGCATTTTCCTTACATTCTGAAGTAGAAACTCTACCACAGCTATTTGCCCGTGTGCTGCAGCCCACATCAGAGGAGTAAATCCTTCTTCGTCCGTGTGATTGATAACATTTTCTATTTAAAAGAAAAGCAATTTTTGTGATCTAATTTAACAACCGCATATTAATATTACTATGAATATACTGGCATTCTAAAAAGTTGACTATATTACTCAGTAAGGCTCGCTTTGTGTTGACTTGTGTTCACTGAAGTCCTGTTATGTGCTGCTGCAATTTGTAGTCTGAATGTATTACAATGTGCCTCAGTGTACATGGCTGAGTTCAAATCGCGTGTTATTTAAAGTGTAAACTACCAGACACAACATAATGCTAGGTATGAGAACACTGGATTCAGAATCGGGAGACCAGAGTTTGAATCCTGACTCTCTCACTTCCTAGCAGTGATGATTCTGGGCATGTCACTCAATTTCTCCAATATCCAGAATACTGCTTTGCTTATCTCCATGTAGAGTTGGGAGGACCACAATAAAAATATGGTTATATGATAGCCCTTGGCATTACATAGCTATGTATTATACAAAGTCCAAAATCTCATTAAAGCTATTTTCTACTCTCTAGCTGACATTTCTGCCTTTGAGTTTCTTTCATTTTTGGTGATTTGCTAACATAACATAGTATAATGTGAATGAAGATTGAATAATATGAGATGCAGTACTATGCAATTCTACCTCAAAACCCATTTTGTTCCCTAGATTTAGCCTACTAGTTATTAAGTCCGTAGGTTTTTTCCTAAATTTATTTAGTAGATGGAGAATAGAACTTTCAAGTACTTATAAACAAATAGAAATATAATGATGAAGTTCAGTCTTTCTTATAAAAGAATGACATGATCAAAAAAAAAAGCGCTCTGATGGTATGTCCTGTATTCAATCAATAAATCTGGACAATTAGCTAACTATTTGAAAAATGAAAATACAAGTAAAGCTCGATCTTTACCCCATTACACCAGAACATATTCCACGTGGGTCAAAGATTGAAATGTAAAAAAGGAAACCACAGAAGTTCTAGAATAAGGTATGAGTGAATTTATTTATAACCTTGCAGTAGGAAATCTTTTCTAAGCAAGATATAAAACTTAGAAGTCCTGAGAAAAAAAAAATTTACTACTTAAAAATGTTAAGCCTTTGTTTGAAAACATCATAAAGTCAAAGGAAAAATGGCAAACTGGGAAAAAATATATGCAACATAAACAATAAAAAGTGAATTTCTTTAACTTCAATAAGAGTTCAAATAAATCAATATACAACAGGCAGTTCACACAAAAGGAAATTCAAATAGACCATAATTTTAAAAAGGTAAACAAAACCAGTATGAGATCCCATTTTCCACCCATGAGACTGGCATAGATTAAAGTCTGATGATATTGTGTCAGTGAAGGAATGGGAAAACAGAAACTCTAACTGGTATGAGGACAGGACAGACATCTGGCAATATGCATAAAAATAAAAATCCATATGCCTTTTGACCCAGCAAATACACTTGTAGGAATTTACCCTGTGGGTATACTTCAAAAGAATGCCAACAATATCGTTTATTTAATAGCAACAAACTGGAATCAATTACCACCAGGGGGCTAGTTAAAAAATAACAGAGTGTATGCATATGCAATACAACACAAAATTACAGACCTATTAAAAGAATGAAATAGATCTTCATGTGCCTGTACAGAAAGATCTTAAAATTTTAAATGAAAAAAGTAAACTGCAATGCAGTGTGTATATTTTTGCTCTTGTGTAAATAAAAACATACATACACATTCTCACATATAACCCCAAATACAAATAGCAATATTTTCCAGAAAAGTCTTCCGAAAATGTAAGAAACTTACAATGTTTGATTTTGGAGAACAGGCTAGGGTGTTAACGGAAGCTGTATTAACTTTTATACTTTATCTTACTATTTTTTTTAAGTATCTATTGGGTTATCTTCTTGGTGAGATTATCCAACTTTTTTTTGTCTTTATACTTTCTTGTATAAAAATAAAATAATAAAAATCTAATAAACCTATTAAATTTGTTTCAAATATTTTTAAAATAGGCTAGTACCTTGTTCGATACGAGTAGCCAGGTACAGCATCTCTCCCTGAGCAGCCAGCTGGTGAACAGATAAAGCTGAAACAACACCATAGAAAGCTTCATGTGTATCTGCAGGGTACACTTTCATCACCTCATTGCTCATGTTTGTGCAGCAAATGTCTTTTCAAAACACAAGCCATCATTTTCTTGTTAAAAAAATCTAACCCAAAATATATCCTAACACTACAAGCAGCCATTCTGTATCTGAGAATTGACTCTTACATGTTTAAGGTAATTCGGACATTTGCAAAGTGCTATTATCAATGGTTATGCAAATTGTTTGGTCAATTATTAACAAGAAATGGTTTATGTACTTAATTTTTAAAACTATATTGTCATCCAAACTTATAAGGAAGTGTAAGGAAGTTGAGTCTTAAAAACCCTTTCTTCTTTTTGTGACCTTGGAAAACTGGTTAAACATTTTTGCCTGTAACATGAGGGATGTGGAACCACAGGATTTCTAGGGTTTTGTTTTTTTTTTTAGCTCAAAAATCCTATGGTTGGAATATTTTAAGACAATCTCTTCATTTTAAAACAAAGCCGAACAGGCACTGTTCTGTGACAGTTCACCTTAAAAATTAGCAATCACTTGATCCTTGATTTCAGGTGATATGACTGCATGGCCTTAATCCAGAAAGGAAAGCAACTGGGAGGCACGTGCACACTTACGGAAATAAAACAGAAACGGCTTTTGGGCGGAGTCATGATCTCTTTCTGGCTTAACTTCTATAACATACGATTTAAAATCAGGAGGGCACAGTGTTTCCAAAATAAAGACATATATTTCACCATGCTTTAGAATAGAGATGCATTTACCTTGTATTCTCAAATATAGTTCCCAGCATCAAATTGCTAACTTTTTTTCTCTCAATTGAGAAACCCATACTATATAGAATATTTTCTAGCTTATATAAAAAACCTTCATTTTATTTCTTCTAGAATAATTCTGCATTAAAAAAACTGTGAATTCAAAGTTTTTAAAAGGTGGTTTCATATGCATATTATATTCAGATTCAAAATTACAGTAGACATTACTCAGCTTTTACTACAGATCACTTGTTGATCAGTGATCTAATTTATAAGTAAAATGCATTGCAAGAACACAAAAACACTCACAATGTCTTACTTCACACAAAGTTCAGAATAACTCTCTGTTTTTATAGTAAAACTATGAAGGTTTTAAGAATTACTATTTTAGTCTGTATTTGTTCTCAACAGAAAAACATAAAACATGAAATATTTGAATATGCAATAAGTGAAAAAGTTTTAAATTACTAAAACTATCAGGACATTACTTAAGGTTTCCAAAATAGAATATGCACTTAATGAAAACAATGTTTCAAAGCCAAACTCTTGATACCATTAGTCATATGATTATTTTAATACATCAGTGGGAAATACTTACAATTTGCTAACAGAGGTGTGGTCGAGACCTCATTTCCTCTGTGCTTGTTGGTTAAAGTAGTTGATTGTTTTATGGGTGAGAAGTGCTTTGTTGTAGAGGGAGTGTAGACATGCCTTACTTGAATTCCCGGAGAAGGAGATGTGTGGATATTGCATTCAGCTAAGTAAAATTAATTTAAACACATTAAAACAATATTTTAACAACAAAGCATTTCAAAGTTCTAGGCCAATGTTTACATTAAAAAAGAAATACATGATGTATAATATCTTCAACTGATTCTCCTGTGATATTATTTTTTGGCATAAAAAGTCTGTACTAGTGAAAGTTCCAGAAAAAAATCTGTATTAATCTTGAGCAATTTTATCCAGAGATTAGTTTTGTTATTCAATAGATTGTTATAAAAGTAAATCTACAATATGATGACAAACTTCACTGCGTTAAAGCATAAGAAACTAATGCCAATTACGTATTTGTGGTATAGAGAATATTAAAAATATTTGTTTCTAAAAGGCACAAATAATTTTTCCCTATAATTTTAAAAGGTACAATAGGGAACTTTATTAGAGAATCTGTAAACAAACAAAGGTCAAGAAAGAAATTTTTAAAAAAATGTACTTATGGACATTACATAACACGAAATTATTTCATTTTGGTTTCTGTGAGATTCTAGAAAATCATATTATAAGATGACTTCCAAACTCTCTTCCCCAAACTCAAAATCTCATGATCCGAAAGGGGAAAAAAAAACCCCAAATAAACAGAAACAAAACAAATGCAGATATTTATACCATAACTTTCAACCTTTAAATAGAACAGATGCCACCTCCAGGTCAGAGTTAACCTGATCTTGAATATTTTTACTGTCCTCTTCATTTAAGGACTTCACAAACCGAGAACAAACATTCATATCAAATCGGTTAGGCAGTATGAACTTCATTCCCATGGCAACACCCTGAGCTGGTCCTTCTTCTGCATTTGAGTCCAGCTGATGTTCTATTTTAATGTCAGGCATGCCAGTTAGACTGTAGCTGCTGGGACACTCTTCCACTATCAGCTGGGCTCCAATATCCAGATTTGCTGATGTAGCCATGATTTCAACTGTAGTTTCAACAATTAAAACATTTCTTCATGATTTCCTCTGGGTTTTAAAAGAGCAGTACACAGTGTATTCTTGGAATTTGGGTATTAAAAAGTCTGAAAGAAAAAGATTAAAAGTGTTATATCAACTTAATGTACATAAAATAGTCATTTTCAATCAAGTATGCAAATAGTGCTCTTATAAGCACCTATATATAACAGAAAGCAATGTTGAGAGGTAGGGAAACCTGGGTATGAATCCAAGCTTCGCCATTTATTACCTGTGTGAATCTGTACAAGTTATGATGTCTCTGAGCCTCAGTCTCGCTGGTAAAATGGGGATACACCTCACAGGATCCTGGCAAAGACCAAATGAAATACAGTCACATCCTCACCTCCATTACTAGGTTCCAGCAAGTTTTAGTTACCCACTTTTCTCCTCTTTCCTATTCCTGAATATTGCCAAATGGATTTTTTAAAAAATCAGGCTAACAACAAAAATAAACTTTCACGTAAAAACTTTAACCTCTTACCTGAGGTTCATTTATAAACATGCTGTTTATAAGTGGCTCTCGGTATGAATTTAAGAAAAGACAGAACTCATGTAGTACCCAAGTCCATCAGCAACACCCATGTGATTCCTGGATACCGAAAGGCTTTACATAGCTTTGGTTAAGATACATTTATCAATCAGTTTTTGTTCATATCAAGTGGTAGCAACTTAATACAGGTTTTTATGAAAAATAAAGTGTATAGACTATGGACTGACTTCCTTTGCTTCAGTATCACTAGGACTTAAGGTCAACGTATAATTTTTGGATCCTGATCTTTGTAACAAGTGTTAAGAAATAAGAATTACTGATTTTTCCCCAAATATAGATTGTCAAGACATGAACTCAATAAATGCAAACTCTCAAAGCATAGATTTTAAGTACATCTGTTATTCAAACACTTACTATTGTTTTAAAATGAGTTTTCAGTAAGGTAATCACAGGCACTTTCCTATGGATCTTAATGTAATTTCAAGAGAAATTTCATTATTATACTTAAAATTTCTAAAAAAAGGAAGAACTCCACGATATATAATTGACCCAGATGTATAGTCACTGAGACAGGAAGAAAATTAATAACATCCAGTTAATTTTTTCATGTTAGGGTTTATTGCCTCTTAGAATTCTGAGGGTGCAGGGTGTTTTAAAATTGGAATTTATTGGAACTACAAGAGAAAAATGCATTAGGGTTACAATGGAGCAAAGGTTGGCAAATCATACGTTTACAGATAACCACTGTTTAGTTTTTAAACACTTTCCAAGATTAATTCTTATAACAGTCTTTTGAGTAGTCAGGGCAGATAATCATTATGTCCACCACAGAGAGAAGAAAAAAGGGAGCTCATGACTCTATCACCCTGTTCATTAAAATAAGCAGCACTAAACTAATTCAAAACTTCCAAGGGAGAAAGAGTTGAACAACAAATAACAAATAACAACAACAACAACAACAATAATAATACAGTTAGCAGGTAACAAAAGCAATACACTTTAGCAAAAGGCTAGAAGGAAATCAGAACAGAAAATGAGTTGTGATTCAAATGGAGATGAAGGTGCAATACAGAGGTCTTTAAAAGGATACTGCAAGATACGAACTGGGTTTCCTAAGGTAAGAGCCATCTCCCACAGACTTCTACCCAGAGGTGGGTGAAATGCAACTCCTCTGAGCTCTCTCAGCACCCTGCATATATCTTTATTTTAGCATTTATCATTCTCTTGAAATTTTCCAATTAAACTTTCAATACATTGAAAACTCCTCTAGGATGGGAAACCACTCTTACTAATCTTTGCACACAAAACACTGCTTGGTTCTATCAGGTGCTCCATAAATGTCTTCTGATCTGAACCTTAACAAAGTTTCGTATTATTTTCTATCCTGAAATGACCCTACAAGATGCTCAGCAATCTGCTAATTAGACCTGGCTTTCCATACCCAACATCACTACCAACTAACTGAGCAAATCATATACATTTCCTGAGACTTTTTAAATTTACCTATAAGATGAAGATGGTTGAAACAGTCATTTCTAATATTATTTCCAAGTCTAAGCATCTTCCATGTTACAAATCAGGGTTTATAGACGGAGTTACTGGTTTTAGAGGGAGGAAAAGCAAATGCATTTGGGGGAGGAGGGAGTAATCTCGGCACTGCTACAGAGAGGAGAAGCAAAACTGGTTAAGCCATAATTCTGGAGCGTTAAGAGAAGAAAGGGGAAAAAGATGATCTAGAAGAGGGAGTGTTGAGAAACAGAGATAAGGCCAAGGATAGCTAGGATCACCTCGATGTGTCAAGAGTCCAGGTAGAAAGGGAGGGAGACCCTTACGAAATGAAGTGGGCATCTGAATTAGTCCACAGTGGGTGCTAATATCAGGACCCCCTTCCCCTGGTTCTTCCTAATCCTGGAATTGTCCTACAAGGTGCTATGAAAATGAATGATGCCTCACAGGCGACAGGTGTCCCGGCGTCCCAGGACAAGAACCCGCTGGAGGAGAGATGGTTGGTTGTACGGAAGTCCGCCGCTCTGTCGCCAGCCGCCAGCTCTGCCCGAAAAGTCCCGGCGCGGCTCAGGTACGGCGGGAGGAAACTCGCTCAAAGGCGGCAGGCTGGTCCCGGGGACAGGCGCCGGAGGCCGACCGGGTGGGAGCGCAGGGCCTGACGACCACCGTCGACAGCCCACAGCGAGTCGGGCCTTTCCATCTGTGGCCACAGATTCACTGCAGGCCCTCAAGCCCCGGCTTGTTTTGACCGCGACGTCACTTCCGATTTCTTCCTTCGCTTTCCGGACATAAAACGTTCTGCATCATCGCAGCCGAGAGGACTTCCAGGGTTTTTCCCGCCGCTGCGCTGCGCGGTCCTTACCGCCTGAGTACTACAGAGACAAAGTCGTTTCAGTTACAGCTCTGGGCACTAGAACCGGCCTTAGTCTTGCCCTTCGGCCACGCCTCCTCTTCTCCATAGCCCCGCCCACCGGGCCCGCCCCTGCGTCACCCGGCTGCGTGTGTCTCTTGAGCCTGCGCCGTTACGTCACCTTCGCGCGACAGGCCTGGCGGTTCTCTTCGTAGTGTGTTTCGGAGCCTCCTGGGGGGTCCGCGTGATTTTCCGCGGTGTTCGTACAGTCCCAGGAAGGGGCTGGTGGAGTCCGAGGACTTATCTTGAGGCCGGAGTGTCTCGGCGGACCTTCGGGGTTCACCGGAGGTAGGTGAAGGGGCTTCCAGTGGGGGTAGCCCAGACTCACGCCGGGCCTTCGTTGATACCTAGCATGCTCCTCTGGGGCTTCGCAGTCTCCGCGGAATGGCTAAACTCCGTGACCAGCCTCTCAGGATCCCCGCAGTTCAGCTCAACCTAGATTTTCCTCCTCTACGATCATATCCGCTTCTACGGTCCACCGGTTTTAGTCCCCGGAGTAATCACACCCCTTAAGGGCAGTGGTCAGATTTCCATCTCTGTCTTTGCTTATGATGTTCCCTCAGTGTACAGTGCCCGCCCCCTCCCCGTCGCCTTTGCGCCCACCTTAAGTGTTGAACTCGTCTTAATATTATACTTGAAAGCCCAGCTGAAATGCACACTCAGAATTTTTCTAGGACTTTCCCGGTTAGAGTTAAAAATCTCTTAAGAGAGCTCAGTTCTCTGTACGTTACTTACAGCATACATTTGGTGTTCTGCATTGTATTGTAGTAGTGCCTATTTTTCATTTAGTCGCCAGTCTTTCAGACTCTTAACCTCTCCCTAATCATTTTCTTTCTGTTCATTTTCACGACACTTCTTGCCTTCGTGCCTTTGCACCGTGTCTTGCTTCCCTTCCCCTGCCTCTGATGCAGTTTTTCACTTTAATCTGGCAAACCACTGCTACTACTCCTCACTTTTTCCTTTTAAAGTTTTAAACAATTTCTTTCAAGGCAGAGTTATGCACTCCTTTGCCTATACAGTTACCCTTGAACATTGCAGGAGAAGGGAAGAGTTTAGGGCTCCCGACCTTCTCAAGAGTGGAAAATCCGAGTATAACTTACAGTGGGCCCTCTATATGTGCAGTTTCTCCTTATTCAAGTTCCTCCAAATCCTGAGTTCCGCTTGTGAGTTCAACCATCTGAGAATCCTGTAGCACTGTATTTAATATCGAAGGAAATCTACCTGTAGGTGGACCTGCACTATTCAAGCCTGTGTTGTTCAAGGGTCAACTGTACTCTAGTAAGGGGCTAGGTCCGGCCCAGTATCTGTTTTTGGGTAGTCAGTGAGTCAAGAATGATTTTTATAGATGAACATTTGCAATCTATTTGATGATAGGAAACACTAACTTTGAATCGAAGTAAGTGAAATGTTGCCCCCTCAAAGAATCCCATTCCTTTCATTCATAAATAAAAAATTGTACTCATAATTATTGGGGGGGTTCATTAGTAAAAAATCGGGAATTTTTTTCTTTCTTGCTACGTAATTACATAAAATCCTCCAGTTTGCCTCTTGGACTGCAAAACCTGAAATATTTATTATTTGGCCTTTTATGAAAAAAGTTTGTGGACTTGTGCTTCATCACAGTGTTCATATGATAGATACCACTTGTGATTTTAATTTTGTTTCTCATATAACCTAGCACAATGCTTCCTTTCCTTCCTTCCATAAACATTCTTTGAGCACCTGCTTTTAATCTTAGAGACATGAAATTATCAATTTAATAGGAAAAAGGGATCATTACAGTGCAATGTGATTATGTGCATTGACAGAAATACGCAGTCAAGTAGGATCATAGAAGACAAGCCCATGACCCAGCTTAGGAGGTCAGAGGTTTCCTGCAGGATGTGATCCTTGAGTTGAACTTTAAATGATAAATAGGAAGTGGGAGAAAGAGGTCATTCCTGCCAGAGAGGACTAATGAATAAAGACTTTGAGACAAGAAAGAGCATGATGTGTTAAGGAAATAACAAGAGGTGAAGCTGCAAAGGTAAGCGAGGGCAAAATCACAGAGGGCCTTACATGCCATGTGAAAAAGCTTGCACCTTCTTTTCTGGGCAATGTTGGGCTTTGCAGCAAAAGCTAGATTTGCATGGTGGTTAGGTAATTCTGATGACTATTTGGAAGATAGATGAGGGAGACCTTATATTGCACTTTCTCGGTGAGTGGGAAGATCTGAACTAGGTGGGTTGGACATTATGAGATTTTAGGACGATTTGAGAGGTAAAAATCAACAGCTCTTGGTTTGGTAACTATTTGGATGTTGGAAGTGAGAAGGAAGGACACATCGAGGCAGATCCCAGGTTCCTAATTGATGCCAATTACTAGCTGAAGTGAAGAATATGGGTGTATATGAAGGCATTGACCATGTCTGTTTGACTCACCATTGCACCTAAAACAGTATGTCCTACATGTTGTAGGTACTTCAATGAACAGAAGTTTCCTCCTTTTAAATCATTGATTACCATGTTTCATCAAAACAGCTTTTAAAATATGTTGCACCTAGTTATTTTGCTGCTACTGATACATTGTTTTCAGGCTTTTGGAAATAGATGGGTGGCACCGCTGGACTCATTCTCCTCGTATAATTGAATCTCTTGCAATTGAATGGTTCTGGAAAGACATTTTGGCTTAAATCATGTCAGCTGAAAGTTTTAATTAGTCTTTTATTCTGTCACTTTAATTTAGAATTTAACTTCAGAATTGCTTTACTCTTGTTTTCTTTCTTACTGTTTAAACCTTTTAAACTTAACTAACTTGATTTTTAAGATTCTACATCAGAATATTAGCTTTTAATTTAATTTTGAGCTTTTAAATTTAATTTTAGTCTTCTACATTAAAATATTAGCTTTGTTTTCTTTTCTTGCAGTTTTAGACTTTCAGGAAGTCAAGTGCCTAGACTATGTTCTTATGGATTAAATGTCATCCTAAATTTAGTTTCATGAAACATTTGTATTTGCAGTTTCACCTTAATGTTTTCTATTGTCAGTAAATGAACATTCTGAGCCAGGGTGCTTTTCTCTGTTTTGCCTACTGGATGGCTGAGCCAGATTTATTCCTAAGTGTTGTAAATTGGTCAATTAGGTGTGGGAACATTTGTGTACAGCCTCTGTGTATAGCTGAGTAGGTGGTACACTCTGGTAGCCCTATCTGGATTCCTTCTTCCTTTGGATTGCCTCTTTTGTATTAAAATTTAATGGTTACTGATCACTAATCTATAAGCTACCACACAGCCTTTTGAAAAGACACAGAGTGAAAATCATAACTATATCTAGCTATATGAATAATATGTGTCTATAAAATGTTTTCTTTTTCAGACGTAAGGCAGAGTCACTTTAATTATTTCTAACACTGATTTCAAACTACTTATCCTTGGATAACAGTCCAGTTATATTAAAGTATGGCTGGTTATAAGCCTGTATCGATCCAGACATATCCTATACTTGGTGAAAAAATCACCCAAGATACACTGTACTGGAATAACTATAAGGTAAGTATAGACATAATTGGGGGTGGGGGTGTTTTGCATTTGTGCTGATTACTGCAGCATACTTTGGATACTGTAATAGAGAGCTAATAACTACAGATAATCTATCAGTGGCTTATAGTTTGGGTATGATATATGTTATTTTTTTCCTTAGAGTTATATAAAAGTCTGCATTCCTTAATCAGCTTTATCATACAAGTACCTTGCACAGAATAGATGATTAATCCATGCCAAATGACAAATTTTAGGATTTGAATCTCATATGAAGCTTTTTTTTTTTGGCTTTCTTAATCTAAGAAGGAAGAGATGCAGAATTAATTCTTCTAGACTATCTGTAAAAGCTAACAAATGATTGTTTTAAAAAGATGAACAACTAAATAGAAAAACGGGGAAAGACTGGGATTGGGAGGTTTATAGAAAAAGAAATTTAAGTGGCCAGTGAATATATTAAAAGAGCTTCAGCCTCACTCATAATTGAATAAATGCAAATTAAAACAATAATTGGATAATTATTGGATAATTTATTGAATAATAATTTATTGAATAATAAAATTATCATTCGATAATAATTTGGATGCTATTTTTCATCTGTTGTATTGGCACAAATGAAAAGTTTTCATCATCATTGCTACTAGAGGGAGGGAAATTGGTGTAAACTTTATGGAGGGCAATTCTGGCATTATCTATTATGATAGAAATACTTTTTGGCCTACTTGTAAGTTCCACAGTTTGGAACTTAACGAAAATTTGTGTATAAAGTATGTTATCTTTATGTGTAAAGATGTTCATTGAAGTATTATTTGTAATATTAGAAATCTTGGAAAAACCTATTTGTTAGCAGTGGACTGGTAAATGATGATGTATCTTATCATGGATGGTAAAGCTATTACTCAAGAAAAGTTACCTAAGATGTGTAGGTTAGTGAAAAACAAGCAAGGTGCAGAATGGTCTGCATGATATGATCGATCTTTGTGTCAGTTTAAAAATACATGGTTGAATGTATGCTGGTTTAGGCATTAGCTTTTTCCCAATAAAAATCACAGAAAACTTCACAGCTGAAGGGAAAAAACGGGGTGTGGCTTTCCAACTATATATTTATTTACTTTCATGGCCACAGAGATAGTTCGGGTGATGGGATTTGGGTCTTTTTCTCTTTTTTCATACTTCTGTATTAAATACAACTAAGTATATGTTACTAAGAACGAAAAGAAATTGTCAGTAAGAAATTACATGCTGCTTAAATAGTTACCAGTTCTAACTCTGTTAATACTCTGTATTATTTTTCATTAAGACCCCTGTTCAGATCAAGGAGTTTGGTGCAGTGTCAAAAGTAGACTTTTCTCCACAGCCTCCATATAATTATGCTGTCACAGCTTCTTCAAGGGTAAATATAATACTTATTTTTCTTTTGTGTAGTTTATGTTTACTCCTGATCTTGAGCCATCCGGTAAAATACTATGTTTTTTATCTTGTTGTAGATTCACATTTATGGCCGATACTCCCAAGAACCTATAAAAACCTTTTCACGGTTTAAAGACACGGCGTACTGTGCTACTTTTCGACAGGATGGTAGACTGCTTGTGGCGGGCAGTGAAGATGGTGGCGTTCAGCTTTTTGATATAAGTGGGAGGGCTCCCCTCAGGCAGTTTGAAGGCCATACTAAGTAAGAGACCATTGTTGTTTAAAAAAAATTTTTTTTGAGGTATAATTAACATACAACATTATATTAGCTTCAGGTGTACAACATGATTCCGTATTTGTATATATTGCCAAACGATCATGACAGTAATTTAGTTAACATCTGTTGCCATACAGTTACAGGTAGCTGATTTTTATGTGTTTTGTTGTATTGTAAGCTGTTGGTTTTCCAGGCTTTGGGGGAAAAATAGAGAGCAGTTCTATGAAGATTATGTACCTTTATGTACTTTATTTCCTGGTTGTTTTGAGACAAAGTGCTTAACTTGGTTCAGTTCAATGGTTCAGTTTGATGAGGCTCATGAATTCCCTAGAATTGTATGTGCCGTTTTCGAAAATATATATTTATCTAGGGAGATGTCCTGTAGCCTTTCATGAACTTCTTAGTGAGTTATGTGACCCTGTTGAGATTATAAACCACTGATCTAAAGAACACCTTACAGCTATTAATGAGAACGCCAAAGACCTGAACTATATTAAAGGTTTTGTTTTGAAATCAAGTTAGCGGGTGGATTTTTTCTTCTTAGGTTTAGTGTTTTGCCCCTTATAAATTAAATGGCCAGGGCAATTTTACATTATAACTTTGTTTCAGGATTACCAGTGTCATTGCTTAAATTTCCTATTGATTTTAAATCTCAAAAGAGTTTTTATAGTGTATTATCAGAATGGTCTTAGTCTATCAGTAAAACATTTAAAATACAACAAATTCACTTAACGTGATACTACTTAGTGGCAAGTCTCCTTAGAATTTTTTAAGAACAAGCTGTTTTGAAATATTTTAAGTTACAGAAAAGTACCTTTGTGCTGACATTTATTTTCCATTAAGCACCTAAGTAGAAATGCTGACATACTAGAAAATATAATTTTAAGGCTATTGTTTAATATTCTTATTAACTTCATAGTACATGGGTATTTAAAATTTTACATTGGCTTGGGTAGAAACACCTCTTTTAAAGATTTTCTTTTTCTCTCAGGATTTCTCCCTGCAATTACTCATTGAAATTGAGCTGCTTTTTTTTTGAAATTGCGGGAAAAGGGCTGTTTTATGTTAGAAGGTGCCAGAAATATTTTTTTCTTGCTTTTTAATATACTGATCCTTGATCTTTCAGAGCAGTACATACAGTAGATTTTACAGCTGACAAATATCATGTGGTCTCTGGGGCTGATGATTATACAGTTAAATTATGGGATATTCCAAACTCCAAGGAAATTCTGACATTCAGAGAACATTCTGATTATGTGAGGTGTGGATGTGCTAGCAAACTGAATCCAGATCTCTTTGTAACAGGTTAGTGAAATCTTTTTTTTCCCTCCTGAAGTTGATAATTTTATTGATATACTTTAATACTGCTTTGAGACTTGGGATAGAGGAATATAAAAAAGTTTTATAAAGAAATATATCTCTGGTTTTTTTTTTAACATTCTTTTTTTTCTATTGAAGAATAGTCAATTTACAAGGTGTCAGTTTCTGGTAAAATACTTCAGTTTCTGGTAAAATACGTCTCTGTTTATCCAGTTGCTTTATTTTATTTTTCTTCTTTTGGTGATTGTCCTTACTGTCCCCGCAATGTGTTTGAAAACTTAGTACTCTTTCCAACTTAGTTGGAAGTTAGTACTCTGGCTTTCACAGAGCCTCCAGCAGCCAAGAAACAAAGGCAATGCAGTTCAATCTTAATGGATCCCTGGTCAAAGATTCCCAGACAACTCAGTGGTAACAGTAGTCTAAAGGAATTTGGAATAGTTTAAGATTCTGCGTGGTATGGTGTCGTGCTTCAGAAACACCCAGTGGTACCAGCGGGTTTGGAAGTACTATATCTTCATGAGTATACATAGGTCTTTTTAAAATTTCATCTAAGCCTTTTCTCCTTTTAAAATTTATGTTTGAATATATACATGCACACACATACATACATAGTTTTTGTTATTTGAGTAGTGGAACTTACATAATACAATTGATGTTTTAGGGTCATATGATCATACTGTGAAGGTGTTTGATGCACGAACAAACCAGAGCATTATCTCTGTTGAACATGAGCAGCCAGTGGAGAGTGTCCTTCTTTTTCCTTCTGGAGGTCTTCTGGTATCAGCAGGTATCTGCTTTAAAAATTGCTTTCACCAATATTGTTTGTCTTGAGTCAAAAATTTCTTTAGCAGTTACTCTTTATAATTTATCAGTGTGTACTTGAATTGCATATTTAGGTTTTTGCTCAAACAGTTGATAAGTGGGACAGGCAAGTAGTTATCATTTATTGGGAACTTGATATGAGCCAAGCAGTGTACTGTTACGTACATATTATCTCCACTGCCTTAGAAGAGCCCACGAGATGATTTTCTCCCTATTTTTCAACTAGGGAAATAAATGAAAGTTTTAACTGATTTGTCCAAGACAAAGTGGTAAGTGGTAGATCTGAAATCTCGGAACTTGAGAGCCTGTGTTATGTACGTAACCCAGAAATCCAGGTTATACTCCTGCTGTTGTTCCTACCTAAGAGATCTGTGGCACCTTTGGAAAATGGGTTCTTTCAGATCTAGAATCAGGCTTATCTCTTCTTATGAGTCTTGAATGAAGTGGCCTTACCCAGCAAATAGTTGATAGTGCTGGAGGAGGAGATTAAGTGGAGTCGAAGGGGCCTTGATACATTGTTCATCAAGTTGGAACTAGGGTGTTTTTTTAATTATATTGATTATAGTGCATTTTCAAAATTATAATTGAAGAAGTAAATTGGCTTTTTTCATTTGTTCAATCCAAATGAATGTGTTGACATTAGAAGAATACATAGGAAGTTTGTAGCTTTTTTTTTTCTTAATTCTTAAATCTAAATAGAAGTTATCCTGTTTTATAATCTTTTCCCCACTACCTATTTGATTTTAAAATAAGTTGATGCTATTGTCAGAGGTATCTATTTTTCTTGCTGTTATTTTGAAAAACGGAAGTAAATTCAAGTTGAACAGGGAAAGTGAATGCCTGTTTGCTAATCTCCATCATGTCACTAATTGTGTGACTTTAGGCAATCTCTTAACCAACATAGACCTTGAAAATGAGATCATTGGTTTCAAACGAATGTCTCTCATGAACTGCTACAGGAGACAGGGACTGTGAATTGGGTTCCAGGTCCTGTTTCCCATTCAGGATAGGTAAGAACTTCATCCCCTTCCACCGCCAGTCCCCAGGCTCTTTATATTTGACCCACTAGACTTTTGCTTAATATTTCATTGAAAGAAAAATGCTGTATTTAAAAAATTCTTTTTAAACCATTGAATTAAATTGCGTTTAAGGATCCTTCCAGTTCTTAGAGTAAAAGTTATAGGGAAGTTTTTCAGTTTTGTTGGGATTCACAGAATGTTTAGGAAATGAAATCTACATTATTCATTTCCATGGTTATACAGAATTTCTTTTGAAGAATTATTATAATTTTTTAAATGAAATCTTTTTTGGTTATACTTTTTATTTTGCCAGGCAATTCTGTGTACTTTACAAATATGAAGTTATTTAATTATCATACTGGTTTTTGTGAGGTGGGGACTGTTGTTATTATCAATCACACACCCAGTAAATGGTACAGCCAGCATCGAAACCAGGCAGACTGGCTCTGAAATCCCTCCACTCCATGCTGTGGAATGTCCAGTGAACAATGCTTTTCAGGTTTTTGCATAATCAAACTGGTGGTTATTTCTTTTATAGGAGGTCGTTATGTTAAAGTCTGGGACATACTGAAAGGAGGACAGCTACTAGTGTCTTTGAAAAATCATCATAAAACTGTGACGTGTTTATGTCTGAGCAGCTCTGGACAGAGGTTACTCTCTGGCTCACTGGATAGGTTAGCATTTTAATTTTCTTTCTTGATCTTTCTTAGTGTACGAGTGTGTACTGTTTGACGAAATGACTTATTTCTGCAGTATTTGTGATAGAATAAATATTCTGCCAAATGATTTCCATGAAAAAAAATCTGTTGAGTTGAAAATAGTTTTGACCTTTTATTTACATATAGCAAACTTATCTTCTCCCTTGACATAAATTTATTGCCTAAAGTTTTATATTTGAGGAATTGTATTGAACCATTCAAATATCTTTTAAAATAATTTATTATTCTGTAGTTTTCTTCTAAAATTAAAGTCATTATAATATATTTGTATATTTTGAAATATTTGTATGTATATATTCTAGCTTATATTCTTTAAAACTTTATGTAAAATTTCTATACAGTATAGAAATTATATATTTTCACGTGCTGCTATTTTAAATAGGTGTTAGTGTTTCATTAGTTAATGTTCTAGAACAGTTCTGTACATTAGAAATATAATGTGAGCTACATATGTAGTTTTAAATGTTTTACCAGCCATGCTTAAAAGGTAAAAGGTAGTAGGTAAAATTACTTTAATAATATATCTTATCTAGTCTAAAATGTTATTTCAGTATGTAATCAGTGTAAAAATTATTGATAGGCTAGAAACAACAGCCACCATTACAAAGAACTCTCTCTCCCAAAATGTCATTAATGCTGGACAAGCTGAGAAATCCTGCTCTTTTGACTTCTAAAGGGCATTCATTGATGCTTTTTCTTTACTCTCAAGTTTTTTTTAACATTTTTTATTGATTTATAATCATTTTACAATGTTGTGCCAAATTCTAGTGTAGAGCACAATTTTTCAGTTATACATGAACATATATATATTCATTGTCACATTTTTTTCTCTGTGAGCTACCATAAGATCTTTTACTCTGAAGTTTTATCTTCAGGAGACAATGGTTCACGGTCTGTCCTTCTGGTGGCTAGTTGAAGTCTTTATGGAAACATAATAATAAACAGTTCATTTTAAAAAAGATACAGTGATTAATTAGTTTGTAATTAATATTACTAATTACTGTTTTTCTTCATTGTTGTGTAAACTTTAATATTCATATACTCTAAAAAAGTAGAAATTTTATATTTTATATTCATTTCCGAGATGATTTGTGACCCAGCTTTCTTTTTCATTAGGAAGGTGAAAGTATATAGCACAACTTCCTACAAAGTAGTCCACAGTTTTGATTATGCAGCTTCTATTTTGAGTCTTGCACTTGCAGTAAGTACTTTTAGATTTTTTTTTTAAAGGTTTCACTAACCTTGCCTGTTAAATTGTACTAAAAGGGAATATTAGGGTTTATCTTTCTATTTGAATAAGTCTTATTTCCTTCTTGCCACATTGGATAATTCGGTTAAGACAATATATGGCTTGTCTCAGTGACTAAGCATGAATTTAGATTGAGGTCCCACTCACTGCATAGCTTCAAACCATTTACAGTGTTGTAGCATTGTTAACACTAAGGGCAACCCTGGGAAGTTGATAAAGCTCTCTTCAACACATTTAACTCAAGGGCTAAATACTCCAGAAAGTTAAATTGGCTCCTTGAACAAAAAAAATGGTGGGGGGGGGTGGGCAAGAATAGAGGGCGGCAAAATGAAATGTCTCCTTTTCCTTGTTAATTGCTCTTTCTGGAATGTCCACTGTCAGATTAGATGAGCCATTGAGGAGGAATCTGAATTGGGAGAGGAAAAGTTATTACAAAATATTTTCTTGGCAAGTCTGTGGAAAGTCATGCCACTGCATAATTCTTTTTCTAGTAAGAGGATGCAGGAAAAAAATAGAACTATTTTGAAAGTTTCCCAAGGTGTCATTAACTGTGTATTATTATACAAACTGCCAGTGATAATTTCTAACTATAATAAGTTCTGTCAATATATTAGTATCCTGGAGGGAAAAATGATTTTAGTCTAACTTTTTGCATAGATCATTGTTAGGCAGAGGCATATCTGAATGGAACTCTGAGGTAAAGTATAGATGAGTGGCAAACACGTTATAAGTGGAATTTTAAAGAAAAAATAAGGTAAATTATGAGCTAGGAATATACTAACTTGTTTTTCTGATTGCTGTTAGCATGAGGATGAGACAATAGTTGTAGGAATGACCAATGGAATACTGAGTGTTAAACATCGGAAATCTGAAGCAAAGAAGGAATCTGTTCCCAGGAGACGAAGGCCTGCGTATCGAACTTTTATTAAAGGAAAAAATTACATGAAACAGCAGGTATTTGTATACTTTGTGTATTTTTTTAAAAGGTGAAATTGGTCTGATTTGATCTTCTAAACAACCCTGAAAAATAGTAGAGCCAGTGAAGTCTCCATTTAGCATCTGAGAAGATGGAGATACACAGAAGTTTGAATCCAGAATTTCATTACTGGGACTAGATGGCAGTTCTGCTAAAGCACACTTACTAACTCCTGTACGAAATCACACTGCCGGCCATGTAAAGAGAATTGCAGTGAGTAATGTTGCCCAGAATGGAGGTATTGTGTATGCATTGTAAAGTCATAAAGTCGTAGGAGACTCAGAACACAATGATGTGGCAAATTTTTCCATTTTCATTTAATCGACATCATGGGTATATGACTATTATGTCTGATATAGTTCAAAGACACCCTGGAACTACGGAAAAAATACCGCTATGAACAAGTTTATTTTGAATGACACTCTGTGATGTTGATTTTTCTCTATAAATTTACTTTTCAATACAGGATGACATTTTGATCAACAAGCCATCAAAGAAACACCTAGAATTGTATGACAGGGATCTGAAAAACTTCCGGATCTCTAAAGCACTTGATAGAGTCCTTGAGGTGAGTGAGGAAATTTTTTTAGAGTTTTAGGTTCACAGCAGAATTGAAAGGAAGGTGCAGAGATTTCCCATATACCACTTTCCTGCCACATGCATGGCCTCCCCCATTACCAACATCCCCCACTAGAGGAGTACATTTGTTGCAATTGGTGAACCTTCAAGGAGCTTATTTTTAAAAGAATCATTTTATTTCTTGCATTGTCCATTTCTGTGATTCAAAACTGGGAAGGAAAAGAAAACTATTTAAATTTGGTTATTGGTAGTGGGTTTCAAGACTGTGGTTTTTTTGCTTGTCCTGTCTTGTCGGCTCATGTTGACTCTGAAAATTTTTCTAGCCCGGTTGTACAATAAAGACGCCTGAGATTACAGTTTCCATCATAAAGGAGCTAAATCGAAGAGGAGTTCTTGCAAATGCCCTTGCAGGTCGAGATGAAAAGGAGATCAGTCGTGTTCTTAATTTTTTGATAAGGTATGTTTCATGTCTATGAATCACATGTCTTTTGCATCTGAAATCCTTCATTATCCAAATTTACTTTTAGTTTGATCTTTATAGAGAACTGACAGAACAATTTAGTAAATTTATTTTAAGGATTTTTTTTTTTAAAGTTTGTAGGTTTCAGTTAACAGAATTTTTGCTTTGTAGGAATCTGTCTCAGCCAAGATTTGCCCCTGTTTTGATCAATGCTGCTGAAATAATTATTGGTAAGTAGTTGTTAAGACTTGAAAAATCTTAGCATACTTGTAAAAGTAAAGGTGTGAAATGATGAGATCAAAGCTGGAAATCAAATAGATTGAAATATCTTGTTTTTACCTCCTGTAAACATTTCATGGAGAAGACAATAATAGTAAATCAGTGCACTTTAAAACAGAGTAAAATGTTTACAGTGGCTTGACTTACAGTTGCTGGGACTAGGGTTATTATAATTTTAAAAGTTTTTTTCTTAAATACCTGTAATGACCATGATTCATTTTTATTGGGGAAATGAAAATAAGTCGGAACCTCCACGCTATTTTTTAATTATTTCTTTTTGAAATACATTTATTCAGATGTATTGTTTACTTTATGTAAAACATAAATTGTAAAATAAGTGCAAATTTTTCAATGTCTTTTGTATTTAGTATTTTTGTACTTTTTCTAAATAATTGCTGTTTAGAAGATGTTTCTAGTTAATGTGTTTCCTTCCTCTCTTTTTAGATATATATCTGCCTGTGATTGGTCAATCACCTGTAGTTGATAAGAAGTTTTTGGTACTTCAAGGACTTGTAGAAAAAGAGATTGATTACCAAAGAGAACTACTAGAAACCTTGGGGATGATGGATATGCTTTTTTCTACCATGATGAGTAAAGAAAGCACTTCTGTGTTGCAGCATTCATCTGAGGGAACTCTAGAGAACAAGAAGATGAAATCATAGTATCTGCTCACCAAGACACATAAGAACTCCTAACTTGGAATAGAATTGATGCTTTTAACTATCGGGAAGAGAATCTCTTTGATACATTTTTTAAAAATCTATTTACAGAAGCAATTTTATGAAAGGCTGGAATAACTATGAGTAGAAAATAAGAACCTGTTTTAAGGCATGGTTTTCCATGTGATATTTTGAATCACTTCATGGCATCTTCAGCTTGGAAGGTCTCAGTTGTTTTGGTCATAGTGTATGTCCATCTCGGACAAGTTGATACTAATTTTTCACAAGAGAGTTCTGTTTCAGCGTTTGGGTGGGCATTCAGAATTCTGGAGGGGGTTTCAACTGGGAATCCTGCCAGAGGAACGGGGCTTTATTTTTTCTTTATCCGGGAAAAATAACAACAATAACAACAACAAAACAAACAGCAAGAACAAGTCAAGTCTTTCTTCACTCTAATCAGTGCCCTTGGGATCCCCAGGCCCCAGCTGAGTTTGCCTCCCTCTCCTTGGTGTCATCACTCGCCCCAGGTCACATGTTCCCCTTCAGCTGGTATTTTGACTGTATCTGTTCCAAGTGTGGCAGATTAGTGGCCAACTCTGAATAACTGACACTAGTTGGACATGTATTCAGAGAATGTGATGAGGGAGATTTGATACCTAAAAATTGTGCTCTCCGTCCCTTGTTTTCTTTTTAGTTCTGTGATCTTGTATGTTTATCAGAGCAAGGTCTGCAGATTGACCTTACGGACCGTGGTTTTCCACTTTCCCTCAACATGCAGCTTTTCTACTGGGTTTTCAGCTTGCTTCAGGTCAGGGGAATGACAACATTTGCTGGTTCTGTCATGATAAACAGCCTTTCAGCCTTTTTTATACATATGTTTGGAGCTTATTTTGTAGCCACCTACCCCTCTGAAAACTGTTTTCTCTGATCTGTATTTAGATTTTTATTTTTTCTCTATTCACATCATCTTGTGTTTCAGAACCCCAAGCCAGAGTAGCTTGCTTTGGAAAATAGTTGTATTTTTTTAAAAGTTTAATGTAAGTCACATTTTTTATAAAGAGATCTTATTTTTCTTCTTGGATTTCTGAGTTGTATTAAGTCCTGATGGATGGTCACTGGCTTGTGACTCCTAGCAGACTGATTTTATATTTGCTACCCTTTCTGCCTTCCCTCAGTTCCTGTTCCACCTCAAGTAGTTAATTATCTATAAGGAAATATGTCTTAGGCTAGTTAAAGGGAGATTTTGTAATGGGAATTTCTTAAAATTTCAGTTCTGTGAATTCAGATATATTTTTTAAAGCAGAAAAAATACTCCTATGTTCTGCTAAGGGCATGTGCTCAAACATACTGTCTGGTCTCCCAAATGAATTGATTTAAGCAATCATACAGCCCAGTGGGTTGTAAGAAACCAGGAGTTTGCTTCCCTGAGTAATTACGAGATTAGTCAAGGTCAGAAACTGTGTTTTCATGTTAAGAAGGGCTAATTTATTTAAATAAACTTTGTATTTAAAAGCTTTTTTAAAATTTAACTTCATAAACATGCTGATAATTTGTATAATAGTAAAAATGAAAAGTTGAAATTCTATCAAAAACTAGCTGCCATCAACTATATAACGTGACAAGGGTTTTTCCCAGACATGTATTTTATTTGATTCTTACTACAGCCGTCCAAAGTTGGTAATCTCACTTAGCATTGAATTTACTAGAGTAGTTAATTCACCCTTAAATCCCCCAAGCTTGAGTTCTTCATTCCAGCTCTGAACTGGCCTGCACACTGGGGCAGAAAGCACTCATTCCCTTTAGTAGAATTCACTGAATGCTGCCGGTTTTAGATGAGATATGTAGTAATCACACATTTTCAAAAAGGTTAGGAAACAATTCTTACAGCCATCAATACTTCAGTGTTAAGTTTAGGAACAGGTTTTATATTCATTGGGACAAACTAGTATTTGCTGTTTGAAGTAGTACTTGAACACAGCTAACATAATACAGTATGTAACAATGGCATTCAGTTCTAATTTAAAATGCCTAACAGAGTTTTAAACTTGTGAATTGTAGTTGAAAGGTTTTTTATGATGTTTCTGAGACTGCAGAAATACTGAACTATTTCAGAGAACTAAGAAAGTCACTGTACATTTAATTTATTGTATTTATAAGTTAAGCACTTGGGAAGGTTTTTCTTGTTGGGTCAAGTGTTTGATTTGCTATTTGTAAGAAAATCAAATATCTTAAATATATGCATACTGTTAATTTGTTAAGACTTTGGATTATAAATGGGATTGTTTAGAGAAATTCATCTCTATCAAACATTAATTAAAAGCCCCATTAAAAATGATTATTAAAACATAATGGTTTTCTGAATGGGATATTTGTAAGTTAAAAGTTTAAGGAAAGCTTTAAAATACTTAAATTTTAACAAGTAACTATAAGTTGTCTTTCCCATGAACAAAATGCCCTTTCAGACAGACCTTAAAAAACATTGATAAGTAGGATACACGCCTCTTCCCCTGGCCATAGTTAGCTGCTCCAGGGGTAGTACACTTGGCTCAAGCCCTCTCTAAGCAGGGAGTTGTAATTTGTGTCATCAAATTCTTGATCTGAGAAAGTGTGGGAGGCTGGGAACGCTGTGTTTGAGTCATGAGAAGAGGAAGCTGGTCTGCAGAGAGAATGAAAGTCCAGAGGAAATAAGACAAGGCCATCCTGCCTCAGCAGGTCAGGCTAGAGAGAAAGGGTCTTAGTTCTCTGGTTTCTGTTTCCCTTCTGGCTCCTCCCCTTAGGGGCTCCATGAGTCTTTGGAATCCCTCTAATAAATTCTGCTTAGGTGAGTGTGAGTGCTTTCTCTTATTTACAACCAAATGACCCCGAAGACACAGATTCACTAGTCCTTATACTGAGAGACAGAGGCTGGGGTCCTGGGGCTGTAGCAATGAACAAAACGGACAGAATCCCTGTCTTCTTGGAACTCATGTTCTACTTGGGAGAGGTAGACGTTCAGTAAGCAAGTAAAATATATAGTGGGTCAGAGGGTGATGAACGATAAGGAAAATCAGGCAGAGGAAGGAGATAGGAAAGGTTTGAGGGGAGGGGTAGATAGGTCGGTGGTAGTTCTAGAAAGAGAAGTGAGAGAAGTCCTCACTAAGGCAGCAGTTGGGCAAAGGCCTTAAGGAGATGAAGAGGGGTCCTCACTGCTATCTAGGGGCAGAGAGCAAAGACCCTGGGGCAGAAGCATGCTGGGTGAGTTCGGGAAAACAAGGTGGCTGGTTTAGCTGACATGAGGCAGGGGAGAGGAGAGTCTTAATTACACCTGTGAAACCAACACTGCAAGCGAGATAACGTGTCTGTCACCCTCAAAAGTTTCCTTTTGTAAACCCTCCCCAGCTAGGCCCCTACCTCTCAGGCAACCACTGATCTACTTTCTGTCACTATAGATGAGTAGATAAGTTTGTATTTGCTACAATTTTATACAAATGGAATCACAGAATTTAAGAATGGGGGAGCTAGCTTCTTTCACTTAGATAAACATTTTGAGATTCATAATTCATTTGAGATGCAAACTGGAAGGAATTACAGACTGTGTGCTGGTGGGGATAATCCTGTAGAGAGGGGGAAACTGATGATTATAGGAGAGACGAGGGCCAGTTTCTGGGGCAATGTCTTGGGGAAAGGACATGGGGCTGAGTAGCCAAGCAGAAGAGTTGGCTTAGATAGCAAATGAACAGTTCGGGCATAGTTCAGGAGAGAAGGCACAATATATAGCACAGGTGCAATTACATGTGTAGATGTGATGATGGGGGTCTCTGTGCTTCTGGAGGCAAGGATGGCCAGGCCTCCACTGGGGCCTCAGTGAAGGCAAGCACCTTACACACTAGATGGTTGGGACATCATCAATGCCCTGTGCTTCTGTCCCAACCGCTACTGGCTCTGCACTGCCACAGGCCCTAGCGTCAAGATCTGGGACTTGGAGGGCAGGATCATTGTAGGTGAACTGAAGCAGGAAGTTACCAGTACCAGCAGCAAGACCCCAGTGTACCTCTCTGGGCTGGTCTGCTGATGGCCAGACTGTTTGCTGGCTACCTGATGCAAGTGGGGAAGGTGACCATCAGCACCCTCCAGAAATGTGGCAGAACTTTAAAAATAAACTGGGTTTCTGACTTAAAAACAAAGCGGTGGGCATGGTCTATGGTAATACTTTCCTTGGAAAAAAACAAAACAACCAACTGAAACTGAGGATAGAGAAGGAAGAGATGAGAAGTGTTGAAAGTTTGAGGAAGGAAGAGAAAATATGAAACAGTCCTCAAGAGGACAAGAGCTCAGACTTTGGAGCCATCTGCCTGGGTTTGAATTTTGGCACAGCCACTCGCTAGCTATGTGACTTTGGGCAAGTTAGTTTTACCATTTTGTATTTCATTTTCTCCAACTGTTAATAAGACAAATAAAATCACAGAAGGTGGTTGTGAGAATTGAGTTAATGCCTGTAAACCTAGAATCTTTCCCTTGTTTGATATTATTAATTATCACGGGGGAATGAACAGACTAGAGAATGAAGTAGCATTACCAGCCGCACTAAGGGCCCACGTGAGGTCATGGACTTAAAGCGAGACTAACTAGCAGGATTCTGTGTTTTTCTCTATTCAAGTTTGGCTGTGAGGATGCAGGCGTGGGATAGGCTGAGATATGGACTTAACCAGCAATGCAGTTTTCATCGGTGAATGTGAAATAATTGAGAAATGGACAAGGGTGTTTTGGAGACTCACATGAAAGAGTGCTTATAATGGACCATGGACTCTAAGCTGGGTGAGTAAGAAAAATGAGATCACGAGGGAGTGAGGGCAGTGAAAACGGGGTTGATGGACTGCTGGTTGTGAGGAGTTGAAGAGTTACAGTTTGTGTACTGGAGGCAGTGAGCTAGAGACGACAAAGGTGCTGGCCAAAGAGCCAAGAAGTACGTCAGGACTAACGTCAGAGAGACTGACAGCAAGGCAGGAGCTACGATGTTCATGAAATGATGGGGAGTGGCCCTGCACTCTGTGCTGACCAATAAGGTGGAGTATGACATGTGAGTCAGATGGCATGAAAGTCACAGGTGAGGTTTTCTTGGGAAGCGGTAAGGGAGCATGGTCCAGGAGCAGCACTGAGCCTCACCCACCCCATCTGCAGGGCAGCACTGTGAGGGCTGTTGTGGAAGCAACAGCAGCAGCACTGGGAAGACTGTAGAGGAAACTTGTTAACAATAACACACAGGAGCTGGCCTCTCCTCCTTCCTGCCTTCCGAACCATGTGTGATTGTATCTAATTGGTGGAGCCCAATTTTGCACCCAGAGCACTATTTGCAAAGGAATCTGGGAAATGTAGTTTTTAATCGCTCAACTCTGCAGTTCTGAAGACGACCTGGAAGGAGGATGCAGCAGGGAATAAGGAAGACAAACCTCACAATAGTCTTCCCCAAATATTCTACACACCTTTAAATAAGAACACCCTCAGTTCTAAACAAACGGGAGCACATTATACTTGCTGTTCTTCATTTTACTTTCCACTTACTGTGCATCCAACTTAGTGCACATAGCTCTGCTTCATTCTTTTTTATGCTGGCTTCCTATCTCACTGTATAGATGTGCCGTAATCAATTTAACTCGTCTGCTGGCACTTAGATACCTTACATTCTTTTGTACTTACAAGCAATTCTGCACTGAGCAAGCTTTTACATAAGTTTTTGTGCATTTTGAGGAGAGTATACTGGGATAAATCAATATGAATTATCCTAATCCTAGAGAGCAAGTCTTTGCTTTCCCATCTCAATTCTTTATTTGGTAATGTCTCATCCCTGCTGCTCATCTTCATCTGAGGAAACGCTACTCACCTTTTTATTCAAGGCTCCACGCACCAGTATCACTTCCAAGACGTGTTCCCTGAAGAACTTCTCACCCAGGGTACTTTGTATTCCACAGAATCATTAATAGCCTTATGGGGAAAGGGCTATTATTGTTCCCACTCTGCACATGGTGATACTGCAGCGACACAGATAGTTTAGGTGACTTGTCCAAAGTCGTGTAGTTAGTGGCAGATCTGGGATTTGAATTCAGGCAGTCTGATTCAAGAATATGTATTCTCAGCCACTGTAGGAATAGCATCTTATGTTCTAGAAACATGGAATACGTCCTTACTCATCTTTGTATTCTTGACTTCATCCACAGCACATAGTTGGTGCCTAGTAAATATGTGCTGAATCAATGAATGAAATGGATGGATGCTTATTGGATCCAGCTTGGCAGTTTACGGGAAAACAGCAATGTGGTTACTGTGTACAAGATGAAATGGTTACATTTCATTTTTCTGAGAGCTACAACTCAAAATGTTTCTGAAAGGTGTCCTTATTGTCTATTGAGAATTTTAATCAGGTGAAATTGAAACCCTGCGTTGGGACCACTTACCTTAGCTCACCACTAGTCCACGAGGTGGCAGTATTACTTCGAAAACCATGAGAAACCGGCTCTTTCCACAGCCCTTTCTCTGAGTCAAGTTGGTGTTCTCTCAGAAAACAAGATATTTGGTTATTGCTGTGTTGACAAAGTGGTTTGAAAGTCATCTATAATTATTGTAATTATGATTATTATTAGGTGCTAGCCAGAAATATGGAAATAAAATCTAACTGAGGCCTGTTTTGAATTAAAAATTAAGGTTTTCAACCATGTTGAACAATGGAAAGAAACACGAGCTACATGATCCCCAGTAAGTCCCAGCTGCTCTCAGTCTCAGCTTCCATATCTGTCAAATGGGGCTAATGTCACTTCCCTTGCAGATTTTTGTGAGAGTAAATGCAATGATGTATGAAAGTGTCTTACCTGCTTTACTGTGTTTGTCACATGTTTGTGGTTATTTGCCCTGAACTATTTGGGAGCTTTTTCTTAGCTTCTATGATTATTAACATCATTTGTCTCACTTAAAGGTGGAGTTGAAGTTTTCTTTTATACTATTATAAAGGATGTTTTTAAAATAATTGCATACACTGTTGAATAAGGGATGTACCTGACTTGAGACAGACTGCTTGCAAGCATTCTGAAAGTAAATGGTGTGATTTGCAGTATATATGAATAAGATACTAACCCCTTGATATGAAAGTAAGATATTAGTTCCCATAGATCACTAGTGTTATGATAGAAATTTTAAATAGAATTATGTCTTTTAACATATATATTATTGCAGACTTCCCTGTATTCAGATTAACTGTATTAGCTGTGACTGTGTGATGACTATATTGACCAAAAGGTTAAAAATATAAATTGTGTTAACTTAGTGAGGATTGGTGATTTTTCTATAAACATTACTGTAAAACACTGGACTCATACAAGAAATTTTTTCAAGATTTTTTTCTTAGTTGAGGTATAATTGACATTATATTAGTTTCAGGTGTACTGAGAGATATAGTCTTGACAAGTTGTTCCCAACTGGAAAAAAAAAAAAAAAACCAAAAAAAAAAAAAAAAACCCCGAGTCAAAAGCAGTTACCTCACAGGAAACAAGTGGAAAGCAGTGGTCAGATTTTTTTCTTTTACTGTTGACCCCTTAGGGTAAAAGAATTTGAGGCTCACCTGTCTAACTCATTCTTATCTTTCAGTGGGAAGAGATCTAGGTGGTAAAGAATCGAGAAAGAACAAAATAGAGACTTGTGGTGAAATTTGTAGCATATATGAATTTCCTTATTCTGTGATTTCTAAGAGAATACTATGAGCTCATACACATGATTTTTCTACCATAACGTTATTACTCATAAACTTAAATGTAACCTAGTGGTTTTATTTACTTACCTTGTGAGTACAAGTTATTTA